TAGGCAGAAGGAATGACTTTTCCCTAAGTTCTCATTTGGCAGCCATTGTTGGGGCTGACAATGAGGCTACTGGGACTTTCTCAGCCACAAAAGTGCAGTTGCAAAGGCTGGATTGTTTCTCTCCTTTGCAGCCCCCCTCAAAGGTAAGAGTTTGTTGCTTGGGCTGACCCAGCAACATTTTCTAACCTGCAAGTGCAGCTGCAAAGGCTGAAAGAATCGCATCTTTGTAGCCTCCCTCAAGCAAGCTAAAACCAAAGCTTTGATTTAAAATTGCATTTAATTTTCAAACCATCTTACAGTACACTATAAGTTTCTTAAATATTTAAGTTATCATTTTCACACATATTGTGCAGATCCTGGCAGGACAGTCAGGGAAACAAAGAGGAGGCATGCCTCCCCAATCAGTCTTCCCTTCCCCAGCCAGTGTTCCCCTTCCTGGGTAAGCTTGAGGTGTATGTGGGGGAACAGAGAAAGAAAGCAACTTTAACTTCAAATGCTTTCTCAAAGTCCCCCACCCTGCACTCCGGCTTGGAGAAGGAATTTGTCTCCTTAAATCCCTTCTCCAAGCCAAGTCAGGCAGCTTGGGGGGGGGGGGGTTGAAGTTGCTTTCTTTCCACCTCTCCCTCCCCCATCTATTGGCTTTCTTTCTACTTTCTTTCTTTCTGCTTTCTCTCTCTCTCTTTCTCCCCTCCCACCCCATCTAAAGCTAAATGTGTTCTCCAAGTTTGCCACACTGCTACACAAGCCAGCTGGCTTGGCTCAGAGAAGACATTTGTCTCTTTAAATCCCTTCTCCAAGTCAAGAAAGCTGGAGGGGGGGGTTGAAGAAAACATTTAAAGTTAAAGTTGCTTTTTTCCCACCTCTTCCTTCCTTCCTCACTCCCTCCCCATTTATTTGCTTTATTTCCACCTCTCTCTCTCTCTTTTCCCCTTCCTTCTTCCCCGTTTGCTTTCTTTCTACCTTCCTTTTTACCTTTCTTTCTCTTTCTTTCTACCTTCCTTTCTCTCTTCCTTCCTCCCACTCAAGCCCCCATCTATTTGCTTTGTTTCTCTTTCTCTTTCCCCCTTTCTCCTTCCCCATCTATTTGCTTTCTTTCCACCTTTCTTCCTCTTTTTCTCTCTTTCTCCCTTCCTTCTTTCCCTTTTCTACTTCCCCCTCCTCCCTCCACCTATATGCTTTCTTTGTTTCTCTTTCTCTCCACCTCTCTCTTAGACAAATAAATATCATTAGCAAACAAATAGGTATCTTTGGACAAATAAATATTATTATCAATATTTGTTTTTACCCCTTTTGTTTTTATTTTGGCAATCTCATTAAATGTTAAAAAGCAAATGTGCATATTTTCCAATAAAAATGTGTGTGTAATATTTGTTCATGTCTTGCAGCTCTCAAACATCTCATGTTCATCCTATATGGCTTTTAATGTTAAGCAATTTTGGCCACACCTGCTCTATACTCTGCCACCAGGACAGATTTTTGTAAATAGGTGCTCACTGGGATTTACACAAGATGCTTCTTTCCAGGGTTTCATTCCGCTTCAGTTTCTCTTTTGGCATGTAAGTGCTGTCCTGCTTCACCCCACTCCTCAAAAGTAATCTCAACTAGAAAGAAAGACTGGTACCAAGGTGATCTGGAGTAAAAAGTCACCCAGATAGATCATTGGGTAACATCTGTGGAAATCTGCCAGTCCAGAGCACAATAGTACAGGTGCTTACATGATGACTGACAAGAATGTTTTCCCCATTAATCCTTTAAAAAGTAAAGTACCTTTTGCTCAATTCATAAATGGATTGTAAATCCATTCTGAAGAGATTTTAAGTAAGCTCATGAAGTTCAGAATTCATTTTAACCCAGGTTGTTTTTTAAAAAGAAACTTACTGCAGCTGAAATTTAGATTTAAATACTGATTTTTAAGAACTCTTAACTTTTATCTACTCCACTTGTAAGATGCTGGGGTCATCAACTGATTATTCTGGCAATGGAAACTAGGTACCTTATGCTCTATGCCACCATAGTAGCTCGCCAGAAAAAGGAGCTCCTCTCAACTGATCTTCAGTGCCATCACTGTAAGTGGCCAGCCCAGCCAGTGCTACATCCACCAGTTCAGCAAGTGTCATGTGGCACAAGGAGCCAATAGAATTCTAACCAGTCATATGACATTGGCCCAGCTCTTCAGGCTGATGAGCCTGCTGCACAGGCTGAGCTACTTCCCTCTGTGCCCATCCCCACATACCGGACTGACTACCTGTCTGCCTCCTGGCTCACCTATCAGTTTGCCTCCAGCCTGCTCGCCCTGTTTTAACACATCCTGTACACATGGCTCTGCTGATCTCCCTTCTAACCTTAAAGAGCTACCGTTTCTTAGGCTGAAAGTTGTACAAGCCCCATAACTTTACACTGTGTTAAACAGAGAAATACTGTGGAGAATCCATGCACAGCTCTATCCCAACTACAAATTTCAGGGTAGAACAGGCACCTGGGACAGCGAGCAAGAGAAAGCAGCTTGGAGTGACAGCAGCTGTAGAGGAATGGAGTAAAGGAAGCACTAGCTCAGGCAAGCAATTCGACAAGTGGATGGTCATTTTCTAAACAATAATTACATTAAACATTTATCATCAGTAAGTAATAATAAATCATACCCACTAATTCTAGAATTGAAAAGTACAAGCAATTATTCATACCCAAACATGGCAAATGTATTTTTAAAACCTGTTGCTGATCTGAAAGCTAATAATGATAGAAACAAGTTGTGGCCTTGGTTTTAAAATCCTTTCATGTAGATGACCTGACACATTAGTGCATCTGAACAAACAATTTACAAAATCACCATCAGTAATTATTCTTACAAAACATGGAGAAATGACAGCAGGCATGATAACAGTGGCATGACATGTGCCATACACAGGATGGGATCAATGCTCCCTCTAAGCTGTGGAGTCTTGTGAGCAAAAATTCTACTCTGTGAGCTACTGGCATTAAAGTGGTGAGCGAGCGGTTTGGCTGCGGCATAAATTAGTTTGCTTTGGAGCCCTCCTTCCTGAGCTAGGACAAAAATGTCTGAGCCGGAGGCTTAAACACTGTGAGCTAGCTCACACGAACTCAGCTTAGAGGGAACACTGGATGGGACACTGACGGATCATTAACTACTTCAGACAACATCAAATTAAAATGTGTATGCTTTTTAAACTTGTAAAAATTTCTGTTAAAAATTGAACAAAATCCTTACAGTGTTGTGAGAATTCTTGCCATACATAAGAGTTACTCTATATAAAGTCCTATGAAATTCATGTTACAACTTAGCCTTATGAAATTCACCTTTCAGCTTGTCCCATCATGTTTAGTTGTTGCACAACATACAGGACTTCAAAATTTCACCAGCTGACTACTTAAGCTGGCACAACAGAGTAATTTTGCTAATACTTCAGAGCAGCATTCACCAGAACAGAAAATATTTACCAAGCATGTACAGAAAAGAATCAACAGGCGATAACGGCTTCGTAAGTAGGCACAGGGAAGCACATTGCTTTAATATGGTTACTGAAACATTTAACCCGAACTTTTAATTCAAATGTTTTGTTTCTCAGATAGCAATCTAAAATTTGGATTGCTTAGGCAAAAATTGGTTTGACTGTATCCGTTCAGTCCCTACTGAACAAAAACAAGCACTACACAAAGCCCCTCAACATTTAACAACAGCTGTTCTGACTTGAGAGGCCCGGCACAGGCTAAAAAGACATACCATTATGCACTAACTCTATCCCACTTGTTAAAAAAGTGTGTTTTTAAAAATCTCATTCCAAATGATATGATATCTATCATTCATACAACATTTTACTCCGTTCAATACTGTACCAAGACGACCATAACAGATCAGACAGCTTTATCCATATATGTGTGTCAGCTGCTTAAAATTAAGTGTTCTGTTGTCAAAGCTGAAATTCTCTTGCCAGAATATATAAATACCAAATAAGCCACATAAACCAAATACAGGCACACTGCTTTAGATCCAGTTAACTGTACCTAGGGGGAAAGCTGGGTGTATGTGTGGAGAGTATCTAGCTGCATTCATCCTGGATTGAACAGTTTTCTAGAAAACGTTACTTTGTTTACCACAAAAAATATAAGGCTTAAATTATTGTTTTAGTTTCTAAGGAAAACTAATCACTTTAAGCACTGCATTTCTTGGCTTGGCAACCAAACATTTAGCAATCGCACTCCGCTGCAACATTCTATTTTGTACAACTACAACACTATCCAGTTTCAGGCTATTATCACCCACTGGGTAGTATGAGATTTAGAGGCAATTTCTACCTGGGCATAGATTTAAGATTTAAAAGACTGTTGCCATATCCTAAGTATTTAGATGGTGCAATAAGTCTGGTGAACCAAGCATGGTGCATGAGCAATGCTAGCAGCACTAATGTTTGGGACAGAGTTGTGACTCCCCTTACAAAAGCTCCCCACAAGTTTTGGCTATCAGTCAGTAACATGGGAACAGTGACATACATATCACACTTTTAACCTCAGCTTCACAGCAGTATACCTAGTAATTCTTCCCTCTCCCATGTTATCCATACACCAACCTTGTTAGGCTGGTTAGACTAAGGCTGGCCCCAAGTTCATCCAAATAGTTCCACTGCTGAGTGGGGCCTGGAACATGGATCTTCACATTCCTAGCCATTCTGGCCACTGTGCCACACAGAGTCTCAAAAGGTAGGTGAACAGATAAGTGCAATTATTATAATACGATTTTCTCACAAGAGCATCACAAATTGATAACCAGTTCCTAAAGATCCAACCTCCTTAGCAAAATTCTATCCACTGAACTAAAAGCAAAGACTAATATAATTTACTTCCTAAGCAGTCACAATCACTATCTTAACTGGGCACCTTCACATTAGTTCTAATTTACAAACACATAAAACAAAAGCAAAACATTGATCAAAATGATACAACACAGAGCTCATCATACATCTTTTGGGAAATGCAAAATTCCTTACCTTTCCTGTCTTGTGGTCAAACCAGACAAGAGCATGGTTCCTAGACAGGACCTTACAGTCAAAGGTAGCATTGTTCTGAGCTGGTCGACAACGAGCCACCGAGCGGCCAATTTTGACAGGCTCATCCAGGTAGACATGGCGTTCTTGAAACGGGTGAGAGTTCGGACGGCAAGTGAAGATAGCCAACGCTGAAGGCATTGAGGACATATATGTGATGCCACACCAATCAGGAAAGAAGAGAAACTCTTCTTGATCCAAGCCACCCTCCACAGTTGATAAGCAAAATTCCCACCGCACGTCACATTAAAGCAGGCCAAGCATTACCTGCAAGTGAGATCTAACAATTTATAGCTGCAGTGTGTGAACTAATCCTGGCAATAATCCAGTAAAAAAGCTCCATTGTTTCCTTTAGTAAGGCCTGTAGTAAGTCTAAAAAGCTCCACTTTAATCCATATTTCTCAAGACTATGAACAAGCATTTGATGCCTCACAGGAGAAACAGAACTTGTTAAATTAAGGTGGGGACAGCTATAAATCCAAGAGGATGACTCACGCACAAATACTTGTTTGGGATGTAATGGATTCTGTTCCGTAAACACTGCCCAAGATTTTTTCTCAATACAAGAGAAACAATTAAAGGTTCCGGCAATGGGAAACCAAAGACAAGAAATTTACAAGAGTTAAGTACAAACTGAAGAATGACCAGAAAGCCTTTGCAACAAGAACAGGCTAACTGATCCACCAGTGAATCCAGGGTTCATCTTCTTCAGACATCAATGCAAAGTCACGAATGGGACGATGAGCAGGTTTGCTGACCCCTCAGCAGACAACTCAGGCCCTATCTAGAACTGTCAAAGGAACAGAGCAGACAACGAACCTGATTACTAATGGAAGAGAACTGTATTGCACTCCCCTCAAGACCTAAGGGTCAATAAACCCGAAAACATATCCAGGTCATTGAATAAAAGGCAGTTTCTTCAAGTGAAGGGAAAGAACTGACAGCAAGTTGGGCCAGGTGAGGAGGGAAGTTGAAGTGCTGTGGTCTGTTTAGTGATGGTCTCAGGCGCTGCAGATGACTTATCGCTGGAGGACGGGAGTCTGTCTGGCAGGACTCCCTGAGGAGGGTCTTGGTGCAGGGACGAAGGAGCTCTCCCCTGGAAGCGAAGGGGGGAAAGAGGACTGGCCGATGAAGGCCAGTGAAGGCTCTGGCGCCGCTGGCTCAGTGACTCTGCAGGTGGCCGAGACCGAGGACCTCGCTCCCTCTTCCCTCTCCTGAGGAGCGGCGCCTTTTGCTTGTCTAGAGGAGCTCAACCCCGTTCCCGCCGAGGGTGAGGCCTGGAGGCCGGGCGCCTTCGGATCGCTGTCTCAATCGGCCACCGACGGCGAAAACTTTCCCCCAACCTGTGAAATCAAAACAAACCCGGTCAGTCTTCGGGCTCAGGCGGGGCCCCGGTTCGACCCTTTTCGGCAACCGCTGGGCTCCTCGGCTCGGCAGAACCACGCAGGGCAAAAGGACAGCAAGGCGGAACGAAGCACCCCCCGCCCCCCCTTCCCGCCACCCACTCTTACCTTCCCAGCAGGAGCCGCCATAGTGCCTGCAAACCTACCCGGTGTAGCTGCAGCGGCAGCCGCGCTGCCGGGGAGGGGGGGAAGGGAATGGGGGGGAGGAGCCGCTTTGCAATGGGCCTGACTAAAAGAAAGGCTGAAGGCCGCCCATTCGCTTCTGCGCAGGCGCCTGCCCGTCGGTTCCCATAATACGCAAGGTCGGCACATGCGCAAAACAAATAGTGATGCTTTTCCTTTGCCCGGGTTATAGGGGTTGCCCATATTGTAAGTTTGGCCTGGTAACGCTCCTTCCGGGTACCGAAAGTAGTGAAGACTGAGCTAAAGAAAAAGATCTAAGTCGTGCCAGACAGTGGAAGTTCTCTAACGGGGAGGAAAGGAATAGAAGGCTAGGGACTAAAACAAACCTGGAGTGGTGATCTGGGATTAAATTTGACCCATCGTTCCCTAGGGTTGCCAGCCTCCAGGTGGGGCCGGGGGATCTCCTGCTTTTACAACTGATCTCCAGCTGACAAGAGATCAGCTCCCCTGGAGAAAATGGCTGCTTTGAAGGACGGACGCTATGGCATTGTACCATGCCAAGGCCCCTCCCCTCCCCAAACCCCACCCTCTCCTGGACTCACCCTCAAAGTCTCCAGGTATTTTCCAACCCAGACTTGGCCACCCTATTGTTCCCCCGCAAAGAGTGCCCAAACTCACACTAAGACGAAAGGGAATACCTTTTTTTCTGGAAAAATGATTCCCCGTAGAACATAATGGGAAAACCTTATTTCATATCATCATGGCTGTGGAACAGCCAGCAGAAGCACCACAATCCTAAACATATTTACTAATTAGTAAGTCTTAGTCTTACTTAGTTCCATGGCACATGCTTCCAAGCATATGTGTAAGAAGGCAATCCTTATTTTAGCCACTCCCAGGTGAATGCAAAAGTGGGCCTTGTGTTTCCAAATATTCTGAGGCTGAAACTTGAAGAGATGGGGGGGGGACATGCTAAGGACTAGGCTAAACAGTTAAAACAAGAAGGGAGGGGGAATACAAGGCCAAATGCAAATAGTTGTAAAGAACTCCAGATATCCAAAGAAAGAGGGTAACTGTCTAGGAAGCAGCACTTTCTATTCTGCTTCAATCAGACTTTAGGCCTGGCTTTGGGACTGAAACACTCTTGCTTGGCTGCTGGAAAAAGGATAGAGAATGTGACCTTGCTTGTTCTGGATCTCTTGACAGCTATCCGTTACTTTGGTATCCTTTTGGGACATTCAGGGTTAGGTTTGGGGTGGGCTATGCCATGGAGGCCCACCCAGGACGGACCGGCCACAGAGAACTCAGACAAAATGTGATCCACTGGAGAAGGAAATGGCAACCCATTCCAGTATCTTTGCCAAGAAAACCCCATGGACAGTAACAAAAGGCTAAAAGATATGACGCCGGAAGATGAGCCCCTCAGGTCGGAAGGTGTCCAATATGCTACTGGGGAAGAGCAGAGGGCAAGTATAAGTAACCCCAGAAAGAGTGAAGCGGCTGGACCAAAGCCGAAAGGACACTCAGTTGTGGATGTGTCTGATGGTGAAAGGAAAGTCCAATGCTGCAAAGAACAATACTGCATAGGAACCTGGATGCAACGAACATGAAATTAAGCAAACTCTGGAGCACGATGGAAGACAGGAGGGCCTGGCGTGATGTGGTCCATGGGGTCGCAAAGAGTCGGACTCGACTGGGCGACTGAACAACAACAACAAAAAGGAGCAGGCCTTCTGTATCATCATCCACTCCTGTTAGAGATTTGATATATCAAGCAAAGACCTTCCTTTGCCACCAGTGTGTGAGGGGTCATTTCAACCAGCAATGGACCTCATGGGGTACCCAAGGAGTCTATGAACCAGGCAACTTGACATAAGTGGACACAAAGATGAACACCAGGACTGGCAGGCCCCATAATCATGCCTAGGAAGTTACCCTGGAAAGCACATGAGATCTTGCTCTGACAACTGCGACTCCCCCCACCAGCTGACATCTGCATACTGCAGACAATGGACTTGCCTCCCCCCAGAGTTACTTCTTTCAATCGCTAATCCTATTGTTAAGTACGAGACTTCAGGCAGCTCATTAACAAGTGATTCAGCTTTATTAGACCAAGACAAGAACGAACACGAACAGGAGAGCAACAGGTTCTCTTTTAAACTATCTGGGCTTGGATAACCACGCCCACTGGTGAGTTAATAACCGATCAGAATAGTAATATAACAACCAATGGATGCATCTCCCTCCAGAACATTTCTTGTACCCTGATTGGTCTACTTCACAGAGTAGCCAATCAGACTGTGCAGTTTACGATACCAGGCTAGATAGGGTTGAAACTCAAGCTCAGGCATTATGTATACACAATATACCTATCAATCTGATCTCATCTCTCCTCTTCACATTTCCTTGATAATGAACATTCCTGACTTCTACTCCTTTCCCACACCCCAAACCCAGGTGGCTCATCAAGCAGTATCATTTCTGTTTTGATTAGTTTAAATTAGCAATCCAGTAGTCCTCAGGAACTGAACCCGAATTGTACTTTGCATCTAGAAAAGAATCTCTGGTCCTTTTTGTCCACTCCTGTGAACTCTATACAAAGTTCCCAAACGACGTTGTTTTATCCCTGATTAATATAACATCCATAAAGACTGGACATTCCTGGTGCCTAATCATTCCTATTGAAAAGCAGGGCAGAATGGGGTGCCGACGACTGGGGAACCATTCACAGATGTTGCTGTCTGAACATGCATTTTAAATCTTCCAGGCAACAACAATGATATTGGACTAAAGAGCATGTCTGGCCACAACCTTTGATGTCTTTGGAATCGGCCAGGAAAAGGTAATTGAAATTTTTGAGACAGCATTTTCAGTAGACAATATGGATAGAAACTAAGTCATGGATAACTAAGTGTATAGTCATAAGATCTATATAAAGGAGCTCAAAGGTGAAGGTGATGACCAAGATGGAACTTACCTGGGAAAAGTGTGGTAATTGCAGTTAAACATGTTGGCTTGTTTCATCATGGAGTGGTCTGAAAGTGCTTGAAAGACCAAGGCTGAAGAAAACAAATGAGAGAGGAGATGGAGACTAAAGATAGAATGTGTTTATGATCAAGGGAAAAGCCTTTAGGACTGCAGGTGGAAGGGAAAGTTTTTTTTTATGCTGGTTGAAGGAAAAAATGGGCTAGAGTGATTGATGGAAATTCAAAACAGATCTTGCCATTCTTCCATTTAAAGGACTGGAGAATCTTTGGTAGAGAGGGGTGGAGGGGCTAACTAGTAAGGAACCTAAATAACAACAAAGATTTACAAATATACTAGACAATATAAACTTAATCTCCTGGTAGGTCTAAGTTTAGGAGCAAAGAGAATGGAAATTGGAAGGAAACATGTTTATATTCATGGTATAAATTTGAAAACACTTGGAACAGGCATTCATTATTTGCCTAGACTGGAGCTCATATAATAAAGCTGTGGTGATATTTTAAAAGCCTACATATAAATCGCTATAAATCACGTTGTTTGAAATGCAGGATTATTTTGCATATGACTTGAGGCAAATCAATGGCCCAGAAGGGAATGCTGAATTTAGGCAATAATTTATGGAAAGTTATGCAATACAGACAACCAGTTCTGACTGAATTAATCTACTTAGACTTTGCTGCTGCCTGGCATGTTGCCCCTGATTATCAGCATTTTTGCCAGGCAAGCCTCCCATCATCCTTTCATAAAATACACTAGCAGAAACGCATGCGTAAAAATGCTTCAGCAAGGGGACAATGCCATCCAGGTTTACAAAATGTCAGCAAATGTCCTGTTATACTGGCTCACAGACTAAGAGTAAGGTAACTTAAAATGCACTGCTCAAAATTAAAATTATGATAACCAGGAAAGCGCAGCTCAATTTAAAAATTAAATTTAAGCCCTTCTGTAAGCCACCATCCTGCATCTTTCAGCGAATTCACATTTCTAGCTTTTCCAAACTGCAATCAGTCTATTTCCCCCGTCTCCTCAGCTGGGAGGAAGGGTTATCATTTTCTTTGCATTCAATTTCTGATGGTTCTCTACATAGAGAACTATCCTGAGAGTTAGCTCGTGTTGACAAAGCATCTGTTATTAAGGAACATGAACATTATTTAATCATAGGCCCTGAATTCATCAGGTGTGTGCATGTCACTACAGGCCAAATAATAGATAAACAGACACATTCAAAGTAACTGGATAGAAAACCCACAGCACCAATGTTGTTAAAGTGATCTCATGCTTCTGCAGATCTCTTAGAGCCAAACCACGTGATGTTGGGGGATCTGTAATCCCCTGATGTGTAATTTAGCTGCATTAAGCAGCTGCAGGGCCCCCCAATATAGATCAGGGATGCAATGCTGGGGGTTGGGGGCCTTAAGTATGAATTTCTTTTAGCCCCGATATAGAAAAAGACAGGCAAAATATGAATACCTTTCCCCACCCTCTACCAATCACTGTATGTAGTTTGGCCATAATTCCCAACTTTTGAAGTAGTAATGTTAGGAACAATAGGATGGATTTGGCCGGATTATAATATAAGCAACTCTGTCAAATGTTATGGAATATCTCTAGCTATTTAGTCTGATCTGGAAATCTGTAACGCATGTTGACTCTGACTCCTCTTTTTCCTCACTTAACCTCATATTATTTTATCTTTGGTACTAAATAAAATGAACATTTGAAAACACGCATAATCAAGGAATAAACTGATGGGTGAAAGAGTTCAGAAACCTGATGCAATTTGTACAATCTCCAAGTTTCTTCAAATGGTGAAGACCTAAGTGAAAATTCAGAAATGGAATATATTATAGAGATAGATTAGATGATAGATAGATGATAGATAGATGATAGATGATAGATAGAAACATGTTTCATGCCAATGTTTTGAACAAACTATTATTTACTGAGATGGAGTGAGATAGAATTAAATATATTTTGGTTCACAGTGTGGATTATGGACTAAAACAGGAGTTCAGTGGCAATTTTATACCACCATAACCTTTTGTGTATAGGAGCAAACTTCATCAAATGCATT